AGAGGATTATTATTTTTTCTTTTTTCCCCCTTTCTTTTAGCTTGCGGCTCTGTTCAAAGTTTCCTTCTCTCGATAAGCTGCAGCAGTGTTTACCGCCGCGGCCCTAGACTTTCCCCCTTCCAGTTACCCTACCCAGCTGCATCGCTTTTGACTGAATAGAGACGAAGTTGTTACGTGTGACGACATCTTGTTCGCTTTCAGAATAATTTTGTTCGCTTTTGAAGCGCTTTTTTTCCTCCCCTTCTCGCTACTATAAAAAGTTGTTTGTTTGTTTGTTTTCCCCCTAGAAATGCACTGATTGTATTCGAGTTGTGTGGCGTTCCTCATGTTTTACTGCACTTTAATGTCACCTTAAGGGTCTCTTTTGGGGGGGGAGGGTACACGCTCGCCACTTTGTCAGCCGACAGGTGCTAATGTGCTAAATAAACCACCTAAGGCTGATATAAATTACTCTGGAGCTGTTGCCAGGATACATACACTACTTGCATACACAAGATAAAGTCCCCGGGTTTATAGTATCTAGATGATTCACTTCTGAAGGACAGTTGAAGGAAATAAAAGCAAATGGCCCACGTGGCTTCTGTGGGCAAAAACATTTTTATGCTGGGCAGCGTGTTACCTGGTGCACATTTGTATAGATTTGCTAAACAGCCTTTAAACAAGCTAGTTGTCGCACCAGGTTTTGGGAGAAAAAACAGTGCTGCAGAGAATTTTGGTCTAAATTAGAAGAGAAAATTATATTTTGACACGGACGTTTATGTTGGATTTTGTCTTACCTGGCTTATTTTAGGAAATTATGTTTAAAGAAGATGGTTCTCCTGGACTTTCTGGAAGATACGGATTAAGTTGAGCATATGTTGGCTAGCACATGGGTGGTTGTTGTAAGATACATGGAGATGTTTATTTTGTTAAAGTTCGTAAATGTCTCTTCGTACCTTTTTCAGGTTCACTACTGTTAGAATCGAAGATAAATCCAAATACTGCATATCAAAAACAGCAGGCAAGTATTACTGCTAGACTTTATTTTTTCTGATTACTGATGCTAAGGAATTTTTTTATGGTGAAACTAATTGCGTCTTTCAGAAAAAAAGCAAAGCGGCAGGACATGCACTTGCCGATGGCGTTTATCATAGAGGTGAAAAACTCACTTAGAAGTCTGTAGGTGCTATAATACTTTGCATTCTAGAAATTAAAATGTTGGTCTCCTAAAAACCCTTTTGGACTTCAGTCTTTGGAGAGAATAGATGCAATTTAGAAAAATATTGAACTCATTACAGGATAAATATTTAGAAATGTATATGTGTAATTTTTGTCTCCCATCTCAGGCCGTATGAAATAATTGCCGAATTAGGAAGGCAAAACGTTGGCCAGCTCTGTTACAGTGTATTTACTTGAGTTCTTTTTCTGGAATTGGCACGGAGGAATTTGTGGGACTTCTTTCATTGTTGCTGTTTAGTTTTTGTTTTAAGCCTTGAAAACTTCTGCTAACCTAAGTAAAGTGACTAGCCATGGTGAGACTTACTTGCACGGTTGCCTTTCCTGGGAGTAAACCTTCTGCAAAACAAAGAAGTAGAACAGTTGGGAGCTATGTTAATAGGTCATTTTTGTTTAATCCACTAAAAAAATTAGCTTACTAAATCTCTTTTGCTTTTATCGCTTTTATTGCTTTTTCCTTTTTCTGTGTTAATTTTTGGTGTCTCTGCCTACATTGTTCTCGTGGTTATTAGTGGGGTTTTTTTCTGTCTGTTCCTTCGTTCTACAGTAGATTCTCTGTTCCTTTTGTTCAGTGTTTTATACTGCTCTTCATCATTATGGTATCTAGAAGCATTTCAGCACTAGAAAACCATAATTTTGTTCCTCCTAAATCGTGAAGAGACAAATATTTAAGGATTTTGTTTGTTTTGATTTTTTTTTTCCAATGGAAAGGTGACAAGTTATGTTATGAGAATTTGAGGAAAGAGACTTCGTTAGCTCTTGAGCACAGGTCGGCTGACTTGAGCTTAGGAGTGAGTCAGAGTCTCGGGCCTAGCTTTTCAGAAGGCTCTGTTTTCTCTGGTTTCCTCTGATCACGCATTCTATATTGGTGGTTTTAGTCAGGTGGATGACGGTCGTAGGCTTTCCTTGGGTGGGCCATGCTGAGGAGGGAGGACGGTCTTTATGGAGCTCTGCGGGGTTCTGAAAGTCAAGAGCCTTGAAATGCTTCCTGTTTAGTAGAAGAAACTAATACATAATGAAATACGAATGCAGATTATGTTGCTGCAAAGTTTTAAATTGCTTCCTTTTGCAGCCTGTTTTCTGAAACTTCATACAACTGAGTGTTTGAAAGCCTTTTTTACTTAATTGGTAGCAAAATTTCAAGTGACTTAGTAACTTTTGTTGTTATTTTTCTTGTGGAAGTCTTTGTAGGTTGTAGTTTTGAAAAACTCGGGCTGAGGTTTATTTTGGTTGTCTTTTATTACTGATTCTAATGCTTTTGTGTCTTCGTGGCTGAAAGTGTTTGCTTCACTGTTCACTCTTTCAAAGAAGTTTGGGTTTGTTTTTTGTTGGTTTTTTTTTTTTTTTTTTTAAGAGGAATAACGATTGCTGATTTCCAGAGACAGGCTCTGGGTTTGTCTAACCTCTGAAATCATACAGCTTTTATCACACAGCTTTTAGTTGACAGAGCTGTGTCCTCAAGTTTTACGTGCTTCCTTCTGAGAAGAGGAGCAAAAAGCAGACCCTAATGTAGCATTCTCAGTTTGTGCAATTTCAGTCTCACCGCTAAAAGATTGTAGTATTCAAACGTGGGCGTCTCAGGAACAGATCCTTTTTAAAAATGGTGGAAGGATTTAGGCAAAATGTTTTGGTTAACCAGAGATGAAGGGAGGTGGTCTTTCCTCAGCGTCCCTACTTGAGTGTTGAAGTCTGTTACATAGGTAGCCTGAAGACTCGGAGGCTGTACTGATCTGCCCAGGGCAGATGCTTGTAGGTGAATGGCAGCGTGGAGGAGAGTGCTGTCTTTCACTTGCCAGAGTTCAATTGCAGACTTTCATTAAGGAGCTGATCGTCTTGGGTTTGGGGAAAGCCACAAGATGGTGTAGCGTCACGGAAAGGAAACATGCCCTGCCTACACATCTGTCTTCATAGAAATTACTTGAATGAACTTACAGGATAGTAGTCACTTAAGTTGTGACTTGCGTACCATCATTCTGCAGGAAAAAAAAACCAACCTGATTTTTAGTTGCTGTGCATCAGTCTGTGATTCCCAATATTATACTGTTTGTGCTAAGTAGTACTGTAACTATTGACTAACCGTAAACAGGGCTGGCCTGTTATCTGCCTTCTCAAATTGTGTTTGTGGTCACTAGCTTTCGTGCAGAATTCAATTCTGTCAAGGTCTTAGGCATACTATAATCATGACCTCTTTCTCAAGAGAAATAGGGTACAAGGGCGGTGATTTTTTCAGTTGCATGGCTGTAAGACTTTAAACTGCTACAGCAATCCTTACTGTGAACACCACCTTCTGATGTTAACTCTCCTTTAGGTGCGCTCTCTCCGTTTTCAGATCTGAGATGAAGAATGTGTGCAAATACTCTTTTGCGCAGAGTCGCCATCACTCATGTGACAGCAGACCAATTCGCTTGAGGCAAAACTGGAGTTACTCGAGGCTGGGATTTAACACGTTTGCAGGGGTGCTGTTAAAGCCAGCCTGAGCAGTTGCCAGGGGGCTGCTTCACTCCTCTTTCATGCCAGCATGTTACTGTGTGACAGGTTAGATGTAAGGACTGATTCAGTTGAAATACCTCTTTTTGCTGGATTAATTTTTATCAGCGTGTGTTCCCCCATCTGGTTAGCTGTACAGCACGCTTGTGCTGGCACAGGGGGCATTGAGGGGCCAGCGCAGGAGCAAGGAGAGGTGGAGTAGCAGACATTGTGCAAACCAGTACCGATGCTGAAGAGGGGTTTGAACTGCTCTCTTAGTTTAAACTGTTGTTCTGAATTAGTCTCTTCCTTTGTTTGTCTTTATATTGTGTTTGAGTGGATTAAGGAATGTTGCTCATCGATGGAGCAGCGTTGCGGGTGCTATTCTAAGCAGGTGGGAGTGGTAGTATGTCGCAGCAGCTAGGCCTGGAAGATGTCTGCCTGTGGTCTTCATGGGTTGTTTTAGGTCGTGCAGGAAGTGTACGCCAGATGAGTAGACTTTATATTGGTATTGGACAGTTATTTACTGATGAAACTGTCTTTTAGTCTTACAGAAATATTTTTGGAGAAACTTGCATAACTTCTGCTTTGTGTGGGCAGTACAGATTGAAATGACTACCATTCAGTAACTTGAGAATTCTCACAAAATTTTTGAGCGCAGTCTCTATGGATGTATGCAGTCATTTAAGTTACTGCACTGTATCTCTTATTTGAATCATTCTGGGCTATGAATAGGATCTTGACATGTATGTGTCCTTTTTTGTTTGTTGTGACGCACCTCTGAGTCTCAGCTCACCTGTAAGTGTATTGATTTTGAGTGTCAGGGCGTCAGTAAGTTCACAGAACATCTCAAGATAACATTTCAGATCTTGAGTTCTGTAACAGCCATAAAATTGTACTTAAGAATTCTTATTTTTTTTTATCGATCTCTAAAAGAGAACCACGTCAGGGAGCTGATCAGACTTCTCAGTGCCTGCAGTTGACAATTACTATTTTTTCCTTGAAGCCCAGTTCAACTGCTCACTCTAAAATGGCACACTGTAAACATAGAGATTCAGCTGTCCGTGAGCCAGAGATGAGGGTGGACAGCTGTAAGCAAAAACCATGTCAGCTAGATGAAGCTGTACCATTTGCACACGTGAATCAGAGCCCGAAAGCAGGGAGACTACCTATTAATAATTGTGACGGTAGGACAAAAGTGCAAGGGTAATACAGGGCACTGTAGTATAAACAAACAACTCTCGTGAACAGCATTAAAACCATAGTGCAATGAGCTCATTTTTTTCCAGAACGGGAAAACTTTGTTTCTTTAAAGGAATATGTAAAAATGAGAAAGAAAAAAAAATTTTGAGCTTCTGCAAATGCTGTTGTTTTTAGTGTGGCCTGTGATTATGTTTTGGGAGAAGGAAGCTGATCTATTGGTAGGCATTCGTCAATAGTGTTGCTGTAAGGAAAAGATGATATGCTAAACTTTTTTAAGGAAAAAAAAAAAGCAAAGACAAAACCCTCAAAACATGCAATTCCATATGGATATTGAGAGATTAAGATTACTGTGGAAATGAACTGAAGAATTAATGCCATATCAGCGATGCTGATTTTCATTCATGTTCCAGAGTGATAATTATAGCAGCTGGGAAGTTGTTTGTTGAGACAGATGTGTGTTTTTTCAGATAGCCGTGCTGATGGAAGAGTTTACCTACTGTCCCATGCCAGCTGCTTGTCAGCAGTCCTGTCCCAAACGTTAGTCCCCTCACATCTGCCAGTGGAAATATTTATGAGTGCTCCCTGACCTGTCTAAGCCCAGATAACTGTCTTAACAAAGGTCTGTTTAAACCACCTAAACTAACCAGATTGTGATCAGAAACGATTAGGGAATGCTGACTGACAGTAGGTTCAAGAGTAGCGATGATCACTTGGTATTAATTATGTTTTTGTCCCTCTCTCTTTGGCGGATACATGAAGGATGGCGACCAGATAATTGTATGATACTGTGTCATGGATTGGCCTTTTAGCATAGTGAACACCTTACAGATAGTAATCAATCAGCTTCATCGTTTCCTGTCATTTGGGGCACAAAGGGAACCAGGAAGTACTTTTGGGTAAAGATGTGAGGGGGCAATGGCAGCGTCTGTTTCTTGTTGCCCCTGAAGTTTCCTAAGGTATATCAGGTATCTGTAAGCCGGTCAGATATTTGTTGGGGTTTGGTTGCTAAGCTTAAAGATAGCACTTTGAGTATTTTGTTTACAGTAAAAGTGATGCATAAGGTAAAGACTTACAAGCCTTGATAAGTTGTGCGGTGAATATTGACCTTTGCAAATGTGGGAAATGAATTACCTTATTGACCATTAAGGAAGGGCTTGCTGGTGTTTAAAAAAAAAAAGTGCAGTAACAGTTCAGGAAGTCAACAAACTTGGTGGAATGTTGAACCGTTTTGCTCTAGCTCATCAAATGTACTGCAAAGTTAGCAGAGAGCCATTCAGTTTGGACATTTTAACATGAAGATGAGCTTACTGTAGGATGCTGAACTACATATTTGAATGTCAAAGCACAGGCTTACATTCCTTACAGTACAGCAGCAAGTGTCCTAAGAAAACCTCATAAAAAAACCTTTTTAGTCTATTCAGAAGTTCCAGCGAATCTTCCAGATATACTGTGCAAAGGCGCAAATTGGATTGATCGAGGCGATAGTAACAGAGGAAAAAACAACTTGCTCAAATGAAAATACCTGTTGGCAAGATGTTTATAACTTTAGTAAGAACTTAGGAGTTTTATTTATTCAGGCTGTATGTCTTTTAATTCAGACAAGAATATTTTAACATTAGTTAGGCATTGTTTCTCATATTGCTAAGGCTGTATTAAACCCTTTCCGGGGAGGAAACACTGTAATCTTGTTTTTTTGTTTCTACTTTATTAAATATGAAAAGACTTAAATTGTTACATTGCAGGTTTTCTCAATCTCCTACAATGTGTGCATGCCCTTTTCAAGACTGTTGGCTCAGAAGTATGTTGCAGAAAAATGCCATTATAAGTGTTTTGGATATGAAAAAAAAGTATATTTATATAATATGTAAGGTAGTGGTCATAAAATAGTAAAAAAGAAAGGTGATGTCCCTTATGGCGGAACAGGTGATTTAATATTTTAGTGTCTTATGTTCTTTTTTGGCAAGTGTAACTTCAACTAAAATTATTTCTTCTTTAGACATACGACTTAATGGAATACAGATTAATATGCAGTGTAGACCTGTTTCAGAAACAATTTTTTTTTTGTTGTTTTTGTCTTAAACAGGACACCCTGATTGTTTGGTCAGAAGCAGAAAACTATGATTTAGCACTGAGTTTTCAAGAAAAAGCTGGCTGTGATGAAATTTGGGAAAAAATCTGCCAGGTACAGTTAACTTTAAATATCCTGTTTCTTCCAGATGTTTTAGTGTCTTCTGTGACTTCATGTGTGTAATCTTTAAACCTACTTGTAAAATAAGCACATACTTGTCGTTATTTTCTGTGGCTTTTCTGTGTAAGATCTTAAGTTGCCACTATTTAGAACACTAGTAGTTGTATTCATAATTGAATTTCATGCTTTTGAAAAATCAATGTAATGATGAAACTCAGGTGCTAGGCATTTTAGGGGTTGGTTGGTTGTTTTTATGAAAAAGGGGAATGCCGGAGTGCCACATTTTAATTGTCCTTCTCCCAGGAGGCCTTAGGAAGCTGGCTTGTTGGAGTGCGGTGAAACTGAAAATGCGATGTAATGCATAGGGAGCTAGATAGTTCACTGTGAGAGACAAAGAGGTGGCGTTGCTGTACGAGCTCAGAAATGTCAGTGATTTTTTTTTCGTCAAGACCTAAGTCTTATTGACTATCTCTGTCTTATGGATATTTCGATCTTCACTGTTTCATTATGAAACAGTTTAGATTTTATACTTTTAACTCTGGAAGTAACAAGTCAACAGAGTTGCACCTACGTGTGCTTAGAAGAGGAAACCTGGGCTTTCATGTTGGGATTTATCATAACCTTCTCAGATGTTGAAATGATGCAGTGTAAAGCTGTTAACTAAAGAAACACAGAACTCAGATTTCCTAGCAGTTTCCTTTGAACAAACTAGGCAATTTAGATGCATTCTTAATCTTAGCATGTTTTGTGGCATAACGTCTTCTCAGCCAGTTCTGAAGTACTGTTGTTGAAAGGAACCGATCCTAGTAACCGCAAGTATATGCGTCTAATAAATAGTCTCGGTTTTAAATTGGGGCTGAGCTGATGACCAGTCTGAGAGGGAGGTCTTCATGTGATCAGCCAATGTAAACCATTAGCCTTAGGCTCTTTCATCAGACTCCAAAACTCTTCCCATTTTGTTCTTTGAGACTCCTGCGTAAGCTGTGATTCTTTGTGAGGGAGTTAACGACAGGAGGTTATGATTCTAAAACTGGATCAGTGGGGAGAACGAAAAGTATAGGATGTATGAGAAAACTGGGGAAAGGAGTTAAAGGGGCAGACAAAGCAGAAGGAAAGCGCAGAGTGGGATGCAATTGCTTCCCTCTTTTCGTGTTCAGTTTTGGTATTCGTGATATTTTCCTGCCTTTGTTGTTCTTTTTGTTACATTTCACTTAATGTTGGCATAGCTGTGGGCTCTGACTACGAGTTGAAGGCTTCATACCCTTCTGTTTGAGACACTGAAAGGTGGTTTTGTAACGCCTTTCTTTTCGTTTTCGATTTTGTGCTTGTCTCCAAGGTGCTTCAAACTTCTTGACTGCACAGATGGTGTTAGGGTTTGGTTTTGTTTGATTTGATTTTTTGACAAATGTACTATTGAGGATAATGGTAGTGACTCTTTAGAATTGAGAGGCAGCAAACTCACTCCTCTGCATGGCTAGACATTTTCCAGGCAACTGAAGGTATAAAAGTGCTTACGCACGTGTTATTTCAGTTATTGACTTGATTATTTTTATGTATGTTTTGGGATGAGATAGTAATTGTTTGCGCTCTCTTCTTAGGTTCAAGGTAAGGATCCTTCAGTGGAAGTCACACAGGACCTTATTGAGTCAGAAGAGGAACACATAGAAGAAATGCCTGAAACTAGTCCTTTGATCGACCTTCCTACTTGTGAACTCAATAAACTTGAAGAGATTGCTGACCTAGTTACCTCTGTTCTCTCCTCACCCATCCGTAGAGAAAAGCTAGCACTGGCCTTGGAGAATGAAGGCTACATTAAAAAACTATTACAGCTTTTCCAAGTCTGCGAGAATTTAGAGAACACAGAAGGCTTACATCATTTGTATGAAATTATTAGAGGAATTTTGTTCCTCAACAAAGCAACTCTGTTTGAGGTGATGTTTTCTGATGAGTGTATTATGGATGTTGTTGGATGCCTTGAGTATGATCCTTCTTTGGCTCAGCCAAAACGGCACAGGGAGTTCTTGACCAAAACAGCAAAATTTAAGGAGGTTATTCCTATAACAGACTCTGAACTCAGGCAAAAAATCCACCAGACTTACAGGGTACAGTATATTCAGGACATCATCTTGCCGACGCCATCTGTTTTTGAAGAGAATTTTCTTTCTACGCTCACTTCCTTTATTTTCTTCAACAAAGTTGAGATTGTCAGTATGTTGCAGGTAAGTGGTTTTTAATGTGGAATAGGTGGATTATGTATAGATACCTCTAGCTGTAGTTTTGAAATTGATTACAGCTCTTTAACACTGTGTAAGTTAATCATACACGCTTTCATTTGCAGAATGTTTTGAATGCTTCCCCTTATTTCTGATACCTTTTATTTTTTATTTTAAAAATGGTGGATTTCAGGTGAGTATAATATTTTTTTTAATGGGTTGTGAACAGTTAAAGGTTCTTCTCCTTGATTCACAAGCAACATACACATTTTGAGCTGTTTTCGTATAGGTATTTAGGGAACAAGCAACTTTTTGTACTATATATCAGGGACATCTGTGATGTCTTTATAACATTCTGAATCTGTGATTCAAAAGAGCATGTTCAGAACCATTCCTGTTATACTACTGTTACTTTATGGCACTAATTTCAAATGTTCATGTTGTAGTATAAAGTAAATAATTTGTCGGGTTTTTTTCTTCATACTGATATCCAAAAGTAATAATTAATAAATAACCAACATGTTACTGTAGCAAAAAACTTACCGCATACTTTGTAGTCAGAAGCAGGCTTAAAAGTAGTTGGGTGTGACAACCAAGCTGGACCGTGGAAGAAGCCTTGGTAAAAAGCTGTGTGTGAACTTCATGACATTTGGAGTATTTTCAGTTCTTATTTTGTTGTGCAAACTAAGGGGTACCAGAGTGGTTTTATGCTGTTTCTGATCCATGTCCTTAGAAAAATGGTACACTTGTGTAGAATAGAACGTGACAAACCTGTTGGTTTGGAGTGTGGATAGTCTCTGTGAAACAGGAAGATGTATCGAGGAGGAAAGGAGGGTAGTTAAAATTGTGGAAAGAGGGGGGCACTGGAGAAATAGCGTTGCCATAAGGAATACTTCTGAAGAATGCAATAGAGGACTGGAAAAAAAAATTAAAACTAAAGAATTGCAGAGAATTGCATGAATAAGCTTTTGGGCTTCTTTCTGTTTGAATAGCAGAAAGAAACTAAAAAGTAAATCCCGCTTGCAAAATTAATGACTTTGTATTAAATAAAGATTTCCCTTTTTATTCTTTTGCATACATTACTTTTCTACAACTGAAAATAAATTCAGTATCATTCTCCTGAGGCCACAGTCCTGTTTCCGTTTAGAGATTTTTAACTCTGTAAAGTTCGATATTTTTCATTTAAGTTTTACTGTACTGAATAATTAATTGTGCTTTAACAGCAAACTATTATTTCCTGTTACCTCTAGTACTCTTTGAAGAAAGTTCTGCAATCCTCTGACAGTTCTTTGTGACTCTCAGTCACTGCCGCCTTTGCCGTAGTAGAGAGTACATGGCACGTAGGTTTGCCTGTCTGTTTTAAAGACTATAATTGAGACATGCATGTTGATTTACAAATAATGTTGATGCCTACATCATTTGACCTGCCTTGAGAATTAAAAACTAAGAAGAAAGCACACATGGGAGAGATGTTCTTGATAGCACGCTTGAGGAAAACTATGTGGTAGTATGGACCTCAGGTTCAGGACTGCTTTCGCAGTCCCCTGGTGTAAATCAGCTTTTTGTTGTGGCACAAGAACTCTAAAGCTCCTTTGGGTTTGGTGAACAAATTAGAAGTCTTGTTACCCTAAATACACTGGCAAAGCTCCCTAGGAGAATGCAGTTTATAGGAGTAACAGATTGTGTTTGCTATGGCAGTAAAGCTCCTTTCTACGTGCCGCGAAGCAGTAGATCCCGGCGCTGCTATAGATGAAGGGCAGCCACATGGGAAACTGAGCGAGCATGGAAAACAAACCTAGATCCATCCTGTGCTTTCGGACATCAGGACTACACTGTGCGGCAGCCTTATGCAAGCAAGAGATCTTTCAGTTGCCAAGTGTTCTGTAGTGGGGATTTTCTAGCCTATCTGTTGTTGATTGTGGTACGGTTGTTTTTTTTAACAGGCTTAATTAAGCTGTTAAAGCCAACAAAGCTTAGAATAAACTACTAAGTCTGTGTATGTTGCACTCTCTCTGATGTTGATTCCAGGTATCATTTGTTTGCAAAGCACTTCTTTCCCCATGTCTGAAAATTTTCAGGAAAAAAAATTATGTGAGCCTTTGGCTGGCATTCCTAAATTGTAAAAATTCTGTATTATGTTAGCCTAATAAAGCACATAGATTTTAGCGACAGCACACAGAAAAAGAAGTACGCACCCTCTATATTATGCAATGTAATGGTTATATATATTTATTGGAATGCTGCTATTCCATTCATGTTTGTTCAATGCATAAGCAAAGTTTATAGAGTTGAATCAGTACAGCGATGCATAATTTTATAATGCTGTAGCATAATGTTACTGTTTGCTTTAAGATCTATATTGTATTTAAAAGGTAACAGAGACATTTGATTTGAGAGAATGCCAACATTATGCTCCATGTGAAGGAGTGCAGAGAAATCAATGTACAGAGGGCAGAAAGTGCCCAAACAGTTGAGAGGTGATGATGTTCACCCTGGTTTTCTTGGGCCTCTTGAGTATTAAGCAGTGGTGTAACTGAAATGTTGCAATTCACAAGAAGTGAAATGTTGTCCTATATGCACTTAAAAATAAATACCTCTTGGCAGTAGAGGATCTGAATATGAAAAGCAAATACTACTCAAAAAGGTTTCCCAGACTGGAAAAGCTGAACTTCTGCAAGTGGGGGACCTTGTTTTGTTGAGGGTAAGGTTAACGGGGCCACGGCTGCAGCAAACTCGTAATGTGGTAATGTGTTAATCTAGTCACCCTTGCATAGGTGGACTGAAAAAATGTTTGCGCGGCTGCAGATCTGGAATAGGGTAACTGATACACGTGTGGTGTTAACAGTGTAGTGTGAACGGCATAGATGCAGCATGGTAAAAATTGTATCTTGACTGGCAATTTCTAGCGTAGAAGTGTATAGGCTGCCTCCCTGGGAGGTTACACGTGCAGTGCAGGGAAGGAGCCTGGAACAAGGACTGTCATTTTCTGTAATTTTGATGCATGGGGGTGTGCGGCAAATCATACAGTGAGTATGTGGGGTAGGGCAGGGCTGTAAACCACAGGGGGTGGCATGGCAGAGGAGGGAAGGAAACGACACGTTCTTTAGAGACTAGTCATTCAGAAGGCAGTTTTAGTAATCATCTCCTATGCTCAGCTTAACGTATGGTTCTGGTCTCCTGGACCTGCTTCCGCTGCACAGAATGAGTACTGAAACAATACACTGGAAATGATCCTCCTGAATGTGTACTCTTGCGTTTCTCTTTTTTGTGATAAAATAATGTAGGTGTGGAGAAAAAAGAAAAAAAAACACCCTTATCTACCGAATCTACTAATGCACGGGTTTTTGTTTCTAATTAAGCGTTGTAGTTAAGCTTAAATTAAGTTTCACTTTCTACAGCGTGGGATCCAATAAAGATCGGTGTTTTAACTTTTAAGATGCATTGTGTAAGTCATATTCTTCTTATGTGTTATGCAGGAAGACGAGAAATTTTTGTCTGAAGTTTTTGCACAATTAACAGATGAAGCTACAGATGATGACAAACGATGTGAATTGGTAAGTCCGTGGTCTTGGTAGTTCTTTGAATGCTTTAAACTACAGAGATTAAGTAGAAATACTGAAATTGTTCTGCTAGTTCTGCAGTCATTGAGGTGTTGCTGTAACCCTAGAATCATTTCCAGTATAGCTCAGTCTTCATGTACATACTCACTAGAAGAATATTTCTTGCAAGGTAAGCTCTGATTTATTTGTTCTAAATAATTATTTTATTGTTGAGAAAGTATTAGCACTAAGCTGACATCCTAGACTTAAAGGTATACTTCCAGGTACCCTTCAACATACCGTATCACTTATATTTGTCATATAAACACTGCTTTTTCCACTGTACTTTAACTCATTCAAAAAGATCTTTTAAGTCCTATGACTGAGGATTACCGGTAGTCCCTTTTTTTTTTAATATATATATATATATATAAAAAACAAACATTATTTATCCTTGAATATCAGCTTAAATAGCCTTGTTAAAATCTTGCTTTCAGCAAGGGAAGCATCTTTGTTCTTTCAAACAAAAGGCACACCAGACAGCAGTATAAATCCTTGATATGCTAGGTGCGATAAAATAGCTGCAAGGTGACTGTACCTCTTTCTGAGGTAAATTGCAGCCTCTTAAGTTTGCTTGTTTGTTTTTCCTTTCTTTTGCTTTCCTTTGTTGGTGATGTTGAAGGTTGGAGGAGAAAAGACTAGAATAATACCATTTTCTAGGAAGGCACATACCAGCCAGTACACAAACTCCGATAAATATTGTAAGTTTCCTACTTTCAGAGAGTTTTTTTCTGAATCGGGCACCTTAAATTATTTTTTTCTTGTACAATAGGTTAACTTTTTCAAGGAATTCTGCGCGTTTTCTCAGACGTTACAACCTCAGAACAGAGATGCATTTTTCAAAACTTTGGCAAAGCTGGGAATTCTTCCAGCTCTTGAAATTGTAATGGTAAGTGAAAACTTAAAACTGATTTTAATAAAAGAAAAAAAAAAAAAAAAAAGAAAACCCACAGCCACTTAATCAGTTTTTCAGATCTCCTAAGCACTTTTGCGTATGTTTGATTGGGCAGCTTTGCTCTGCTGAAAGTTGAAGTTTACTGTAACGTTCAGAATCCAAAAGATGTCCACAGTTTTCTGAAGTAGCTTAACTTTATTGCTGTTACTATTTTTACTTTGCGTGGTGGTGAAGTCTGTGATAGATGCAGTCCTTCTGACAATGGCGTGTAAAAATTGAAAGATACTTTTTCACGTGGCAGCTTGGGAGTTGGTTTTTTTTTTTCCTGTTGCTGTTGGAACAGTGCCAAAGAAGTATTTTTAGATAATCTTGAACTGCTAGCTTGTTGCTATCCGAAAGATCTCGTAATCCTGTCTTTTCAGAGGTATAAAGCAGATTAATCTGTCTTAATCAGCAATGTGAAAACATAATTTTTTTTCACTCCTTTGGTTGAAGCAGCTTGCTGCCTGACCATTGCAGTTCAGGTGTCAGTGCTGTTGTTACTCAGAAACTGTAAATTCAAGGGGTTTTATATTTGAGAGTAACAAGCTGTGAAGTTACCAAAGGACATTGACTGTTAGGAAAACATAAGTCATATTCAGTGATTAGATGAACCCTGATCTTTGTATTCTGTTTCAGGGCTAGACCAGTCCAGATAATTCCTGTTACCTTAATATTTTTGGCTTAGAAATTGTACAGTTATCAGAGAAAACTGCATACCTTAAGGAAAATTATTAATTCTGGTTGCCTATAAATGAGTACAGAAACTTTTGTACAAATTGATTTGTACTGTTGGTCCTTTTGTACAAAATCAATAAACTGGGGGTAACAGGTACAGAATATTAGCGTCTTAGATATTCTAGCAAGTAGCATGATCTAAATGTTTCCTGCCTAAATTAGGGCTATCAAATTCACCGAAATCCTTGCATTCTTTCTAAAGGAGGGAAATAGTGGGGAAAAGATTTTGCTGTTTTTTTTTTTTCTGTAACTGTATTACTGTGTCTCTCACAGAAACTTTTGTAATAAAATGTTCTCAAAACTTTTAACTCCCTGTTCTTTGCAGCTTTATTTCATAATAAATACTAAACCTGATTTACTTCAATAAATTGATCTCTTTTTTTATTAGGGAATGGATGATCTGCAAGTTAGATCTGCTGCTACAGATATATTTTCTTATCTAGTAGAATTTAGTCCATCCATGGTCCGAGAATTTGTAATGCAAGAGGCCCAGCAGAGTGATGATGTAAGTAAAAGTGTTTTGGAGTTTGTTGAATATACTAGTTTTAGAGCAAACAACAAAAAAACCAGCAAAACAAACCTCTCTGGAAGTTGGGATACAGTTAGCCCAAAAATGTAGATACTAGAAACATAGGAAAAAGTAGATTTAAGATACAAAAATTTCTGAGCATGTTGGTATTCTGTGTGTTTACAGTAATAAGGTGGTATGTCTGCCTAACAATGATTTTCAGGCGAGGAGGGTTGCGCTTGGCAGAACTCCGGTGTCTAAATGCAGCTCTCAATTTTTCTGTTTAGGAAAACAGAAAACAGTTTCTGTTAGGAAACCTAATACGGAAACTAGGGAAATCATTCCACTGCTGAAACTGTGTCTAATTATTTTTTGGTTTGTCTGGGTTTTCTTTTTTTGCAGGATATCCTCCTCATCAATGTGGTCATTGAGCAGATGATCTGCGATACTGATCCTGAGCTTGGGGGAGCTGTTCAGTTAATGGGGCTCTTGCGTACTCTGATAGATCCAGAGAATATGTTGGCCACAGCTAATGTAAGAAAATACAAAGGGGTAAAGACACTTTACTGTCTCAGCAAAATTAAAAGCCTGGTATTTATTGCTGTTACTGTGGTCGGAGGATTAAAAAAAAAGCGATTTCTGCTCTTTTTTGGCAGTGTTGTGTATGGTTGATAGGAATTTAAACAAGCTAAAAAATAAGCTAAGATTTCCATTAACTCTTGGTAATAAAAGGTACGCGTATGTGGTATCGTGCAAGTGTCTATTAAACTAAGCAGTCCTGTGCTCCAGTGAAAGAGCGTATTTGCATTCATGGTGGGGTTTTTTGGCGATAGCTGGGTTGGTTTGATGTGTCTCAGATCTTTTCCCAAAAGAACTAAATCTCTCTTACTTGAGTGAAGATAATGTTGCAGGACCAACCAAAAAGATACAGGCAGACCTGAGGGAGTTGATGAATTGTTTGTAGGCTGTCTTCTATGTCGCTACTCGTTCTTATTTAAAAGGAAGTGTACAAATGCAAGTATTTAATAAAGTCATATTTGTTTTAGAAAACAGAAAAAAGTGAATTTCTCAATTTCTTCTACAACCATTGTATGCACGTTCTTACTGCACCGCTTCTGGCTAATACATCAGAAGATAAATGTGAAAAAGGTAACGTTACTTTTCTTTTTCCCCTTGCTTTAAATCTTGTAATGTTTTCAAGTGACTCGCAATCCTGGTAACGGCGGTAAGCCTGTGATGCCAGCTGGGAGTACGCTTGCTGCTGAAAACCGTTGTTCCCTCAGTGATAGAGGTTCTGTGGGCAGAAATTTTAATAGCCCTTTTAATAGCTTTGTAAAATATGTGTCTGCTTGATGTGTATTGCTAATTGCATACTAGTTCTACAACTACAATTTTAAAGAGTATTTGCTGTAAAGCAGAGTGTCTTTAGTTCATAGTTACTTCTAGAAAAAAGTTTACAAAAATGCTGTGACATTCGTCGGTGGTTACATGGTTGCAGGCATCGGGTGTGCTCAGGTGATGAACTCCAAAGACTAGTTTTCACGTGACTGTAGTATAGAAATCTATTCCAAGAAATACAACCTGGAGCTCCTTTATCTTGTTTCTTTTTTTATTTTTCCTGATAACAGTAAATGAATTGGAAATCTCCGTTTGGCACATGCAAGTAGCGCTCACTAGTTTGTCTAGTGCTTTACAAACAGAAATTTAACATAGTTACAGCCTCTTGAGTCAGACTTTTTTCTGAGTACTCTTTCAAGAGATTAAATCAAACCGATGCGTATTTGGTAAAAACATTTCTTTCATCTTACCCATCTTCTTATATTAAGTGTTAAGTCAAAAAATAAATGTTTTATGCATTTTATACAAAAATAAAACTTGCAGAATTTTTGTAGTACTCATTTTATAATATTATTGGAGCAATTTAGAAAAGGCACTTTCTTTTAGTCTAGGCAGGAATAATATTCCGAAGTATTAGATGACATATTTTCACCTAGTGGAATTTGAAACTTTGTAATGTAAATTGAATATAGAAATCTCATCTGGCGTGCGTTCTTGCTGTATGTTTATTTCCTTATAGCTTACAGAAACTTGATTTGTTGAAAAGTTTGAACAGCTGGTAGAATTGATTGTTTATCCCCATCTTTTAAATATTTACAGTGCTTTTGAAAACCTTCTTCTGATTTTTGTTTGTATTTTCTATTTATCAGATGCAGTAGTTGGGTCCACTAAGAGTAATACAATTTGTCCTGGTAAGTTTTAATTGACCTTGAGTTTTGAAACTTGTCTTGTAAGCTGTGTATGGTGGTTTTATTTAAAAAAAAAAAAAAAAGGTTAGATATGTCCGTATTTTATTTTTTAAATACTTTTTATTGAAACAGATGTAGGTGCCTTGCTTCCTTTGAGACGACAGGAAGCTGAAGGAACATTTTCATCCGCTTTTGAGTTACTGGGTTTCACTTTTTTTTTCTTCCTGGTCAACCTTGCTACTGAAAGTTTAAATCGTTGTTAGCAGGCTATGTACTAAAGAGACACAGCTGAGCTTTTACAGTCTGGATTTTTATCTGTGCAGGCTTCTTTTTTGAGCACTATGAAAAGACATTGCTAATTAGGTTCACATGAATACAGGTCTGAGCGGCCGCCCCCTTTTAACTACGTACCGTTAATCTGGATTGCCGTAACCAGTAACTCGCTGATCCTGGAAGAAGTCCCACTGCCGATTCAGGGTGATTTTTGTGACTGGAAGGAAAAAAAAAACCAAACCAGCCAAATTTGGGTGTGTTGTTTTTGTTCTGACCCAATGTCCCGCTTCCTAAAGCAATCCAGTGTGCCACGAAAAACCTGTCGGGAGCTGTAATAGCAACTGAGCTTGGTGGTGATTTGGTGCATAACAGTACTTTTTTTTTTTTTTTTTTGGTATAACTTAAGGCATTAATTTTTCTTTTAGATAATTATCAAACGGCACAACTACTTGCCTTAATTTTGGAGCTGCTTACTTTTTGTGTGGAACACCACACGTATCACATCAAGAATTACATTATGAACAAAGATTTGCTAAGAAGAGTGCTGGTCTTGATGAATTCAAAGCACACGTTTCTGGCCTTGTGTGAGTATGGAGCTGTTGTGATTTCCTTCAAGGCTTTGTATGTACTGTGTGGAATGTGTACGAGTAAAAGCGTATACTTCAATTCAAAATTCATGTTGATTTCCTATATATTACTGACGAGCTGTTAAGTAGTTCTGAAAAAAGGGTAGCAGATGTCTGTTGATGCAGACCAATGCAGTTTACGGCGGGAGGAGAATTGTTGCATCTTTTGAAGTCCACAGTGATCCTTTCAGGTCTTTATGACGCTAAAGATCACTTGTGATCAGCTGTCTTATTTAAATGGGAACAGTGTCATTTCTTAATAATGTCATAAATCTAGTGCTCCTTGTGGAGAGTGAATGAAATTTTGCGAACTGTGGTATTTAAAGAATAGGGGCTGGTTCTGGGAGGCGAACGCAGAGGAGCACGGGAATGAGCTCGTAATTTAACCTCACATGTGCTAAAGTTTATTGCTACTGTATTTCAAAACGAAGTTAATGGACCCTGATGACATTCAAATAGCCAGGAAAGTCAAAGAATGAAGGAGAGGTTACCTGTCAGCAAACGTTTTTTCTGAACTCTCAGGAAGTGCTTTTTAATGCTCTTGGTTTGGGGGCGCATCTTCCTCTCAGTAACGTCAGGTTTTTTCCGTTCTTTCCAAGAGAAGCAGATTGGAGCCCTGGCATGTAGTTACTAAATTCCCGAGTTTCTTTCTTACAGGTGCTCTTCGCTTTATGAGGAGGATAATTGGCCTAAAAGATGAATTTTATAACCGTTATATCACCAAGGGAAATCTGTTTGAACCAGTTATAAATGCTCTGTTGGATAATGGAACTAGGTACAATCTGCTCAACTCTGCTGTGATTGAGCTGTTTGAGTTCATCAGAGTGGTAAGTTAAGCAGCTTCTTAAGCTCTTACGCGTACGTGGCATCTCGGGTAGAAAGACAAAATGCAAATCTTTCCCTTGAAAGAGCGTATTACTGATTAAAATCACAAACTAAAAATCCCGTAGATAAATACCCAAATAGAAAGGAGCCAGTAAGCTGCTTCGTGCTGGTTTCCTTGATCGTCCCTTCAGGGAGTACGGGTAGGCCCTATTTACGTAGAAGTCTGTGTTAGAAGACTGTATCCTGTAGACGATAATTCTTTTTAAGTGGTTGACAGTGTTTCTGGACTAAGCTTCGAAGTGAGGAATTAAGTGAAATACGTTTTCTGTGAGTAAATCTAGGTATTATCGGGTATAAACGAGACTAATGTGACTACAAAATTGAATGGTCATTATCCTTTAAAATTCTCCACACGTGCTTTCTTAGACGGTGTCAGCTTTGAATCAGTAGCTTTTCCACCGGCAGCGTTTGTGGGAACAATGCGTACGAGGACAGGACAGACAGGCCAAGCAGGAGCGCCCAGTCTGTTGTATTGCTGGGGCGGAAAACAAGGACTTGCAACAGCTCCTGAGCTACTCGCTGCGAATGCCTTGGTGTGTGGGAGTCTTCTCAGGGAACCTTTGTGGTCTGCGAAAAGGAAGGGCAGTCGTTAGTCACAGGATATCGTAGCTGCTGTCTTTTCCAGCAAGAAAAGGTGGCTTTTGCCAGCGTGGTGTGAAAGTTAAGATTTGCCTGATACGATTTGTTGGAGGGTGACTGACCAAGAGGTGCCTCATCCCACGTGTGCTGCCGTAGTTACTGAGGACTGGGAAGAGAGCTAAAACTTGCGGGGAGAGCAGGGCGCAGCTAAACTCCTGTTTTTCTCAAGAAGGCTTAACCCTGGATGGCAAGCATCATGGTTTAATCAAACTATCACAAATAGAATCGGGAAAGTACTGAGTCTATTGTCCATTTATATGGGAAATTTAATAATTACTTCTAGATTTCAGCTTTTTTGTTAAGGAAAAATCCGATAACTTCACATTTGTTCTTTACAATAATGTTCTGACCCTGGACAATGAATCGGTTACTTTTAAACCTAAACTCTAAAGCTTTCCGAACTTCTGCATGTTAATATTTGAGACTGAAACCCTGTTTTGTTCTTATGCAGGAAGATATTAAGTCCCTTATTGCACATATAGTTGAAAACTTTTATAATGCACTTGAATCTATCGAATATGTTCAGACATTCAAGGGACTGAAGACAAAATATGAGCAAGAAAAAGACCGACAAAACCAGAAACTGAACAGGTACGACCCAGTTTATGTATTCCGAGACTTTCATCGAATGCCGTTATGTACTATCTTCTTACTCCTGGTTGGGTTTTTTTTTCTTTCCTGGAGGGCAGAACAAGCAGAAGGCTGGGATTGGGGTGGGTTTTCATTCTTGATGAAAACTTCTTCAATTAGAGTAAACCCCCGTCTGACTTCCCTTGTGGCCTACTGTAGTACAGTTCGTATTTGTCAGTATATTAAACGTTACATTCGGAAAACTCTCAGCTTACGAAGAGCAGAATCTTCTTCTGTCGTTCAGAGTTGGGATGTTGTCAGCTGGGGTGTTGGTGAAGCTTACGTCGACGGTAGAACCGGGGACGGAGCTGGACTGCCTTCTCAAACGCACCGAATTCACTTCAAAGCCTCAGAAGAAGCCATTTCTGATCCCTGGCTGAGCCTGAAACGGCAGGCAAAACTTGAATCACTTGTCGTGTGTCTCTTACAGTGTTCCATCTATATTGCGTAGCAATAGATTTCGCAGAGATGCAAGAGCCTTAGAGGAGGATGAAGAAATGTGGTTCAATGAAGACGAAGAGGAAGAAGGTGAAGCTGTTGTACCTCCGGTTGAGAAGTCAAAACAGGAGGATGATTTTCCAGATAGCTATGAAAAATTTATGGAAACTAAAAAAGGTATTCACTCAGTTTCAGCTTGTCAGCACTGGAAGTGCTCGATGGCAGATATGTGGAGTGTCACGTAAACAAACCAGTTGCTTGCGCTCTGTATCGTAAGCAGGAGTAAGGGTATTCCGTGCAATTAAGTAATGCAATTCCTAACGTGTCTTTGCAAGCTAGTTTAGGATTAAAATAATGAGTTAAATTCCTCCAAGCATGCATCGACGTTTAAATGACGCTCAAAAGCAAAACTGTTTATGTACTTGTGTGTGCCGAGTGAGCAACGTCCCCACGTCCACGGCATCCGTGCCATCCTCAGTTTGAATGCTGGCGTGCTTTGGATGAGGTCAGTGGGTGAGCTGTTGATTTAAACTGCATTTGGGGGGAAAAAAAAAAAAGGCAGGTTTTGCCCAGTGATTATGCTGTGATGTGGATTGTACTCCATGGTGTACAGCTGATACTTAAGTATGAAAATGTTTGTCCCTCAGCTAAGGAGAGTGAAGACAAAGAGAATCTTCCAAAAAGGACTTCAGCTGGGGGATTCAAATTCACTTTTTCCCACTCAGCCAGCGCAGCCAATGGTGCAAATGGTGCAAACAGTAAATCCGTGGCAGCTCAGACGTCACCAGCAAGCTCCAACGGCTCCTCTTCAAAGAACGCGACCCTGACCACAGCGGTGACAGCCACGAAGGTGGGAGAACTTGTGCAAAAGCTGCTGTCCTCGCTTAGGACAGCGCAGCGGCGTAGTGAGGCTTTACTGGTTGTAATGTGGTAAGGTTAGCCTTAGCCCCTAGGCAGGGCATCTTATTTACGTATAAATTCATCCAAAGCCCTGTCAGGTTAAACCCTGACTAGTCTGGGGGAAGGTTTGAGGAAGTATTAGGTGGGACTGGGGTCCGTTGGTAATCTGGTGGGCAGAGTTTAATCTCGCAGCTTCTGCCCAATTCCACTGCTCCCACTCCTCGGCTTTAACTGTCCAGTTGCTGCTGTGTGATATACGTGTGAGATCGGGGGTTTTTTGTGAATTACGTTAGTGCCCCCCCCGCCCATCAGGGAATTAATAAGTGTTTTTAAGCAGATGAAATACAGTAAGCGATACCTCCGTTAAAATCCTGCGTGACTGTGTAAGACGTAATCTTTAGCCTGCAAGCTCCTGAGAAGAGGCTACAGAAAAGCGTGGCAAAAACGTTATTGCACACACCTAAGACTTACCAGCAAAATGGATGTGCGGTGTACACGCGAGGCTTTGTCACTGTCCAGCTGGGAGCTTAAAAAGTGATTTTTTTTAAGTAATTCTGAGGCCGGATCCAGAGGAGTAAGGAAGTTCCGGTACTTTTTTTAACTTTGAGGTTCGAAAACATTCTCAAGACAAACAGGGCTTTGAATGAAAAGGCCGTCGCCGAGAAACCTTCCGCAGGCTTGTGTGGCCCCACCAGGTTGGCTGGGGGTTATGTACTAAAATTGCAGAGTCCTGGGTATTTTTTTTCAATGTGAGATTTTCTTTTTTCTTTTTCTTTTAAATTGGCAGGGAAGTCTAGTTGGCCTAGTGGATTATCCTGATGATGAGGATGATGATGAAGAGGAGGAGACATCTCCAAGGAAAAGACCTCGTCTGGGTTCATAAACGAAACCAAAACTTTGGAATAAAAACTTTTATTATGGGGTTTCAAATGCTGCAACTGTTTTAAGAGCTAAAAAGAGTCTGATTCAGAAAGCTTTCTCCCATGAGTTTATAAGATAATACAAGGAGTAGCAAAAGAAACTCGGTATATCAGCTAGAAAGGGTTAGTTCTGTAAACACAAAGCTTCCAAGGAACTTAATATCTTTCTAGTAAGCAAGGAGTCTGCCATTCAGGCTGTCAAAAAAATTAAAAATTAAAAAAAAAAGTGGGTTAGTATTCACAGAACCTGGATGATGGCTTCTCAGCAAGGAAAGTCTCAGGTGTCGGGAGGGCAGGGGGAGGGAAAGGTATGGTAAACACTTTTTTAAAAATATTGCAGGGTTTCCCCGGTGTTTAACAGAACTAGGAAAAAAAAAATAATAATTCAAGCTTAAATTTTGAACCCAGTAATCTTAATTTTGTAATGGTGCTGTCAGTTGTGTTCTTTTAGCAATGCCTCTTTTAAAAAAAATTTTAAGGGAAAACTAACTCTGTTTGCATAAGAACAATCCAGATTTTGGGACCATTTATTACCAATTAAATCGCATTTCTCATGGTTGGAGGGAGGGACGCTGCAGTTACGGTGCACGTTGAGTTGTTTCAAACCGTTAAAAATAAGTTTTAATTTGCATTTTTCAAGAGGAGAAAATGGAAGCGGGACACAAAATGGATGGCTTTGGTTGCTTTTTCGATTAGACATCCAGTAATTCCTATGCCAAGGAGCGATCGCTTCCACACTATCTCCAGGAGCTGCTCGTGTCAAAGTGGTGCTGTACGCGGCGCACCCGCGTAGCTGTCGGCTTCGCGCCGTGGAAGATACCGGATTGGAATCACTCCCCGGGGTGTCACGTGAGCTGTCCCTTCGCGGAGCAGCCAGCCATTTTCCTGTTTGCGAGTTTAAATTGCGTAACTGAGGTGGTAGTAAGCAACACTAACAGGTTTTTCATAGCGATGAATTTAGCGGCGTTTTAACACCAAAGTCACTTTGGACCAAGACGGCATTATTCCTAACAGAACACCGGTCTCTGAGGCAGAATCAACAAGCGGCACCTGAATCCGGGTGTAATACGAAAGCTGCTTTTTTTAAAAAACAAAAGCACATTCCACGTAGTAGGTAAGCAAACCGCGACAAAAATAGGTGAGTCGACGGCGAGTTGGTAGAGGCAAACAGGCCAGGTTTTCTTTTCAAGAGCAGCAAGCGAACTGTAAATATTTTAATGTTGGTTTGCCCGTATGTGATCTGAGATCATGACGAAGCGAGAGGAAATTTCCCAACGACAATTAATGTGTCAGAAATGTTAAAATATAAAGCCAGCTGCAATCCACCACATAGATCACTCTTGTAATATGTGTTATGGGTCCATTTCTCCTGGAATAGTTTAAACTGAAGCAGTTTCTCTGTTTTGGAGATTTTTGTAGTTAATTTTAGCTATTGTTTGGAAAAAGATGGGCTGTCTGTGTAGATATGAAGTATAGTTTTTTCCATAAAACAGAAGTTTATTTTGTATTAAAAATACCACTGTACTTGTTTTACACCATTTGTATACATGTGGTGATATTAATGCTGAACTGTAAAATTCAGGAATTAAAATGTGACCCTGTAATTCCATAATTACCGCTTTTGTTTGGTTTGTTGTACACGGTAAGTTAACTCGGAGTTTTACATGTGGCCATTTTAGAGTCTTTTTTAAGATTAGTTATCCATGCAGTTTTAAAAGTAACTCTATACCACTAGATGAAATCCCAGAGGGAGCGCGCGAGTTCTTCCCGCCGCGTAAGCTAGACGCAAGCGTTCTGACGGATGACAGTTCACGCCCGTGGACCCGGGGACAGTGGTGGGTGCCCTTTGCGGGCTCCAGGCAACCAAGAATGGGACTCCTCGTTTCTCACCTGTGCGATGAAAGGCCCCGTAAGCTCCCAACGCGGAGGATCCGAGGAAGTGTTCGCCGGTAAAGCGGAGCCGCAGTCTCATCGCCGTGCGCTCGCCCGCCCGCCCGCTGACGGCCATCTGGTTTTCTTCCTGACGAGTCTCTTCTCTCCGTTGGTAACGATGACCCAGCGCTACGCACGCTACTCGAGCAGCAGCGTCACGCAGTATGTGCCTTTACTAACCTGAGGCTGAAAAATTGCGTCGCCTGGCCTGCGGCCCCGAGTTGTCCCGATTCTCTTTAACAGCTACCCAAAACGAGTTCTCCGAGGGTCTCCGACGGAAGCGTGGTAGTTCTTACTCTGTCCCCCACCACCCCAACTCTTCCCTGAAGTACTGTCAGGAGCTTTAAAAATACATTCAGACCGACATGAGGTGGTTTTTTACAGCAAAAACAAGAATGTCATGAATTTTTATAGTTACTAGAAAAAGACTGTGTAAAGTGGCATTAGATGTCCCGTTTTCAAAAAAATAAAATAAAATCCCTGTAGGCGGTGACAAGGCAGCGCTCCCTTCAACTGGCTTTTGTCTGGGGCCATCGCCCCCGTGGATGCTGTTTCCCAGTCTGACCTGGTCGGTGCTGCCTGGGCTCTGCCTGCGGGCAGCCGTGTTCCCCCGCCCGGGGTCCTTCCACTACCAATCTTTTTGGAAAAGAACAGAACATCTGCCAACATGTATCAGTTATAAATGCTATTTTAATAAAAAGTTACGCGAAACCTGAATTGGTCGGGTTGTGTTTCTTTTACTGCGAGGTACTGTTGCAGTCGGCTGTGTAATGACGGTGCAAACGCTAGCCTCCCCTCCCTGCTTCGGTTTCCGTCCGTCAAAGCCAAACCCGTAAACGAGATCTTAAAATTTGATTTCTACTTTGAAACTGAATTGCTGGTGACATCCCCAGCTCTGCAACTAAAGCAATTATTTTTACTTAAAGTTGCACTTAAATTGGACCGAAGGACTGGTAAAGTGCCCCGACAGTATGTAAAACAATGTAATCCAGAGTTAATACCTGAAAGTCTCGACTCCCAGCTACGTTACCCTTCTTGAAAATAAGATGGCCAGAGTTGCACTTCCGTGTGAAATTAGACTTTATTACATTGCACAGCTGAAAAATAGTAATTTAGCTATAATGTTCTAATAAAAAAGTTAAAATTTCTAACTCCTTCAGGACTGTTCACAAAGGGATTATTTTAACAGATCGCCATATCTGCTTTTGTTCTACGTAACACCAAGTGGCTGAGGCCAGCAGTTCAAAACAGCTGTATGCTGCAGGGCTGTTAAATGGCCTCGCCGTGAACACGGTCCGGTGAAAGTCGGCGAGTTTCCAGCATTCTGGAAAATAAGCGTGTGTAGTGTCGATCAGTGTAGTTTTAAATATTTATATATAAAGTACCGAGTTGCTTGTCTGAAAGTTCTATAAAACTAAGCGTAGTATTGGAAAACTAATCCATTCAATTATTATTTATATAATTTATTCTAAAAACATACTTTTGGGTTCTGCAATGAGTCTCTTAAAATTACCGCTTATTAATAACTTCTTCTTTCAGTTTTTCTGCGAGCATCTTCCTCTTCTGTAGCAATCTTTGCTTCTCTTCCGACATTTCCTAAAAACAAAGTGAGAAGAGGCTGCAGTAAACTGCGTGGCTCTCCTGCCGGGACCCTGACTTCTGACACTGAACGCTACCCAGACGCCCGAGCCCCATCAGGTACCTGACGCACAGTTTCTCAAGTAACCCCTTGCCGACCCGCGGCTGCGGCAGCAGGCCTTCAAACTCGCTGGCCATCCAGAATGATTAAAAACAAAATACTCCTATTCCATTTCTTGAGAAACGGATCCCAGGACGTGGACGACTGGCTCTTTATGTCAGTCTGCCTTTTTTTTTCCCCTGCACTGCGCCGATCGTTTTGAGAGGACTAACCTCAAATTCAACTGGCGCTGCTTTGTTGTGCTGGAAGTTCCCCAGTCAACAGTATTTTGGGCACGTTCTGAGCGTAGTAAAATGCTCAGCAACTCCGAGAAATACCTGAGGCAAGAGAAGGTCTCCGGTTTTAAGTAGATGCTCTGTAAAGAAGAGTAGTGATTTTTTTTTTTTTTTTTTAACGTGTTACCCCATTGTTTTGCGTGGGTTTTAAGGTCTTCTATTAGTTTCCTCATTTGTGTTGGGGGTTTTCAAGCATTTCTTTTCATATGAATGTAGATCAGACCTATTTGTGGTAAACGCATGAAGTCACACTAACCGTAACAATGATTAACAAAAAAAAAATTGGGGCTTTTTTCTGGTAAAGACCTCTAGAGCGGTAGGGCTTTATCCTGTCACAGGATTCTGGGGTTTTTTTTATGCCCGTACTTTCTTTCCCTGATAAGATGTACTACTTTTTTCCCCAAAGCGGATTTTCTGTCATCCCCACGGTGCGAGGATTTGTGTGATTTTACCGCTTGTTGTAAGTCAAGGACTGGATCGGTTAATTCACTACGTAACTTCACTCACGTCTCGGGACGGAGAACAGCCTTCGGACAAAAACAGACCTTGAAGACTGGGCTG